TCTGAAATCAATAAAAATAAATAAATAAGAAAGAAATATCAGGAAAGAACTCTTTGAGAAAAATAATATTTTAGGTAAGACCTGAAGTTTGAGTAGAAGTTAGACAAAGCAAGCAGTAGCAGAGAACATCTTTTCAAACAGAAAATAGCATTTTCTAAGGCTTTGAACCAAGAAAGACTTTGGGGAGTTAGAAACATAGAAAGAAAGCCAGCGGAATGGATAGTATTGAGTAAAAGGCATACTTTCAAACTGGAGGGGTAGATGGGTCAGATCACTCATGAAAGACAATAATAAGATTTTTTGGTTTAGTTTTTAGAAAATTTTTATCCTGGCCCAGGCTGGTGTGGCACAATTAGTTGGAGTGTCATCCCGTCCCGTACACCAGAAGATGGTGGGTTCGATTCCTGGTCAGAGCACATACCTAGGTTGTGGGTTTGATCCCTGGTCAGGGTGCGTGGCAGAGTCAATTGATCAATGTCTCTGTCTCTGCCCTCCCTTCCTCTCTCTAAAATCAATTAAAAATTAAAAAATAAAAATCCTAAGTACAGTGGGTTCTAACTAGGTATATGACATGATTTAAATTGTGTTTAAAGGGGGTTTCTCTTGCTGCAGTGTGGAGAATGGATTGCAGTAGGGTAAAAGAGGAGGAGACGCTGTAATATGGCCAAGAGATCTGGCTTGAACTAAAGAGCTGGCAAGTAATGAAGGTGCAGAGAAATATGATTTCAGAATAAAATTATCTGTATACATATCATCTATATTTGTTTCTTGTTATGCTATGATCCTCTGTTCTTTTAGATTATATCAGTTAGCATCTTTCTATCTCCATTTCTGTGTTATTTTTCCACATGGCATGTGATGTATGAGGGCTGTGGACAGAGGCATGATTGAAGTAGTATGGAAAAGCACCTACCTAGAAGAGTTTATATGCCATGTTTATTCATTATCATTCAACAAATATTTATCAAGCTCTTACTATAAGCAGACACTGGTCTAGGTGTAGGGACCCAGTGGTAAAGACAAACAAGGCCCTGCTCCTATGGCGCTCACAGTGTAATGGGAGGAGACACACATAAAGAATAAATGATTTCTCGATGTCCGAGCTGGAGTAGGCGCTCCAGGCACCAGGGACGGACAAGAGCTGGGTCGGCGGTGAGTAGCCTACAGCATTTGCTCATCCTCGCGATGAGTTTGCCCCTCAATCCCAAACCTTTCCTCAATGGATTAACAGGATAGCCAGTAATGGTGAAACTTACGTGGGGAATGGAGTACAAAGGCTACCTGGTATCTGTAGATGGCTGTATGAACATGCAGCTTGCAAACAGAAGAATACATAGATGGAGCCTTGTCTGGACACCTGGGTGAAGTTTTAATAAGGTGTAATAATGTCCTTTATATCAGGGGTGTTGAAGAAGAGGAAGAAGATGGAGAAATGAGAGAATAGCATCTTTTGTGGGAAATTTTTTTATATGTATTTCTAGACAATAAAAATTTGTTTTTTCAACTTGAAAAAAAAAAGAATAAATGAAAATACAGACAGTGGTAAGTGCTGTGCAGGAAATTGAAAGAAGGTCACGTGATAGAAAGTAAATGGCTTGGTACTTTAGCATGGGGGTCAGAGCAGGCCTCTCTGGAAAGGTGGCATTTAAGCTCATACCCATAGAGGCAGCCGTGTGAAGATTTTGGAGGCAGAATATTTCAGGTAGAAGGACCCAGTCTTGTAAGGGTCCCAAAGCAGGAACAAGCTTGACGGGATCAAAAGAAACAAATGTGGGTGGAGCACTGATAGACAGAAGGAGTGGTGTAATGTGGAGTTAGAGAGGCAGGTCAGGTGTCGAGGTCTGTAAGCCTGTCTAAGTTATCTAGATTTTATTCTAAGTGTGACAGGAAGGAAACCATGAAGATTTTTAAAAAGAGGAGTTTATGTTGGGGGCGAGGGGCAAGAGTGACCATGGAGAGACAGGTCAGAAGACTAAAGCAGTAGTGCAAGCAAGAGATGACAGTGGCTTGGACTGTGGAGATGGAGTGTAACAGAGGTGCTTACATTGAGGCTGTGTTTTGGAGATAGGACAATCATACGGAGTACAGACCACTGTTGTGAGAATGGATTCAAAATTAAAAATACACTGTTCTTAAGGAATTTATAATGTAACACATTTGGCAAGCTGCTTAACACCTCTGGGCCTCTTTTTTTTTTTGTTGTTAATCTTCACTGGAAGATATTTTTTCCTTTTATTTTAGAAAGAGTGGAAGAGAGGGGAGATGGGTAAAAAGGACAGAGAGAGAAACATCAATGGGAGAGAGCCACATCAATCGGTTGCCTCCCACACGCACCACAATAGGAGCAGGGAACCTGCAACCCAGGTATGTGCCCTTGACCAGAATCGAACCTGAGACCCTTCAGTTCACAGGCTGACACTTTAACCACGCTGGCCAGCACACCTTTTTTTGTTGTTGTTGTTAAATAAAAGGATTGTATTTAAATTACTTATAATTTAACTCTGAAACAACTGAAGCTTATTCTTTTAAAACAAATGTGTACCCAGCCAATGTGGCTCAGTGGTTGACCATTGATCTATGAACCAAGAGGTCACGGTTTGATTCCTGGTCAGGGTACATGCCCAGGTTGTGGGCTCGATCCCCAGTAGGGGACATGCAGGAGGCAGCCAGTCAGTGAGTCTCTCTCATCATTGATGTTTCTATTCTTCTCTCCCTCTCTCTTCCTCTCTATGAAATAAAAAACATATTTATTAAAAAAAACCACATTTGTATTACTATAGTTTAAGTTGAATGTGTGTGTGTTAATGTGTTGCCAAGTGGAAAAGTGAAATTTGAGGTTGATCTTGGAAGATTTGATGATACTCATGAACTTTAGCCCAGAATCTTAAGGTAATTGTGAACATATTCATTACAGAAAGGTGGGAGGACATTTCTAATAGTGGGCACTAGTACACATCCACTTCTGGGTTCTGACGTTAATCCTTTGCATTTTGGCGGGACAAAAATGTTTGAGTGTTCTGTTGGCTATGCTAAGTGGGTACATGTGCCCTTACTAACCCTTCCGTCCTGTGTATCTCAGGTACTATCTGTTTTCTCTCATCATGAATTTGAGTCGTGATGCTTATGAGATTCGTCTACTGATGGAACAAGAGTCTTCAGTTTATAGCCGGCGACAGAAGGGTTCTGGAGGAGGAGCCCCAGGAGGAATTGAAACTGGGGGACCTGGGGATCCAGGGACTCCAGGAGGAGGCCTACCCCAAATAGCTCTGAAACTTCAGCTCCGAGTCCTGCTCCTGGCTCGGGTCCTTCGGGGTAATCCCCCGCTTCTGCTGGATGTAGTCAGAAATGCCTGTGACCTCTTCATTCCACTGGACAAACTAGGCCTCTGGCGCTGTGGCCCGGGAATTGTGGGGCTTTGTGGCCTCGTGTCCTCCATCCTGTCTATCCTCACTCTAATCTGCCCTTGGCTACGACTCAAGCCCTGATGTTCTGGTACAGGATAAGGAGGGGAGCTGGCTTGGTAAGATGGAATCTTAGATTGTCCCCAGTGTCCAAGCTGCATCCTAATCCTACTCCTTGGTTAAAGTTAAAATCCAGAGATTTAGGGGTAAACCAGGGGTGGGGAACGTCTGGCCCATGGGCTGTATAAGGCCCGAAAAATCATTTGGTCTGGCCCTGCCAAGGCATTAGGGGTGATTTAATTAAATGTTTGACCAAATATATCAGGCTAATTTTTAAGTGGATAATTTTGTATGGCCCATGAGAGATGTTATAAATATCCAATGGCCCTTGGCAGAAAAACGGTTCCCCATCCCCAGGGTAGAGGGAGGAGCTTTGGGGAAGATGAGGTGAGGAAAGGTGACTTGTGTAGTCAGGGTGATTCCAGTGTTCAGATCTGCTGGAGCTTTTGTTCTTTTCCTCCTCCATTGCATTGTCTGTGTCTCTCTTGACTCTTGATTTTGTCTCTCTTAAATCGTAGATTCTGTCTCTGGGTTTTTTTTTCCCCTTCTCAGTCCCCTGTCCTAGGAATTTAATCAGCAGCAAAATGACTTTTTGGTAGGGGAGAGGTGTGTTCTGTAAGATTCTAATTGCCTTCTTTTTCCTCACAGAGGTGGCTTGTGGCAGATTTTACCCCCTTCAGACTCCAGACTATAATTTTAAAGATTTATGTCCCAGTGGACTCTTCCCTCATTCCCCAGAAGTGGTTCGCTGCTTCCTCTTCCTCCCTCATGGCTACCTCACCAACCTCGCTCATGACTTGGCCCTTACCCTTCCCTCTACTCACATCTGCAGATTTCGGCTTACACTTCGACTTCAGGGCTTCGTTCGCAGCCTGTTCTTACCCCTTCTTTGCCAACCCAGTGATGCCGTGTCTTAACATCTTGCTGTAAATATTGTACAATGATTCTGTGTAAATAGTTAGGGCCCCGCCCACAATGGAGAGCAATTAAAGATCAGCCAATTAAAGATCAGTTTGCTCATTGATGTTTGGTCTGGTCCTGTGTGTTCTTGTCATCGGAAGCCCCTATTTCTGTCACTGTGGTTTGGATTTTTCATGGGATTAGCCACTGCATCATCACCCACAGACTTCTATTGAGACCTAAACTCTACAGGGCATCGTACTAGGTGGTAGAGATACAAAAAGCTTAACTTCTCGGTCCCAGCGTCAGATGTTTGTAGCCTACTTGAGAAGATGGGAATCTAATGTTTAAGTGATTATACAAGTTCCACAAAGCACATGCCATCCCAGTTCAGTTTAAGGTCCCTCCAAAAGCTATAGTGCCACAGGCAGCAGAGACTGAGTCCAAACAGAACTAAGTTGTTTGGCTTAGTCTGTGGGCTGGTTGTACCTTCACATGTTGGGACTCCCCTGGGTGGTTAGGTCAATAAAACCACTGTTATCAATTCTTTATTTTTTAGATCTCAGGTTGAGGTGAATACGGTTAGGAAGTAAAAAGTGTCTGTCTCCCACTGTTTTTATTCCAAACCCAAAGAAAGCATTATTGTCTGGAAACAACAAAGGACAGGAAAAAAGAGAAGGAAACAGCAGAAAGAGTCCAGAGTTGTGTTCCCTTTGGATTCTGAGATGACGCCTCCAGGGGGCAGCACCAAGGCAGAGAACTAGACTAAGATCACTCAGTCCTGTCCTCTGTCTGGGGCTCCCCACAGGTCCCCACCATCACTCCTCCCATTCCTCCCAACTTTATTTTTAGCTGGCAGTGGGAGGGGGCAGGATGGGAGGGAAACTAACGAAAACAGAAGAGGAGAGGGACAGAGGCACAGAGGACTTCTCACGCGGCCAGAACAGCCAGGCATGGAGCTGCCTCTCATCCCTCACCTGTTCTTGTCCCTGATGGTCCTGACAGGTGAGGGAGGTTAACTTCTTGGTTTCTGATGGGAAAAGAGGATAGTGGTTTGTTTGGCATTGGGACTTTAGGGTTAAAATTATTTGGGAACTAGGGTGAAAGATTAACACTGATTCTCCATTGCTAGTGTGTCTGTATGTGTGTGGGCGCGTGTGTGTGTGTCTGCACGTTTGCATTCTTATGCCCACAGCATATGACCGAGTTAGTATTGAGATTGTCAGAGCCTGTGTAAGGTTTGTGATCCAATTATCTAAAACCTGTGTCCTCAGCTCTGGAGAAGTTAGGGGACCACAAAGAAGCAGAATGTGACCTTCCACGTGGCCACTCTGATTCCTATTCCCCCCTCCCTTCCTCTCCCTACCCTTGGTGGTCTCTGGAGCTGGAGGCATAGCTGACTAACCATGTAGTCAGAGCTCTGGGTTTATCTAACCAATGAGCTACAGTGCCTAGTCATACAGCCCTGGCATTTTCCTGGGTGCAAAAAGGCTCACATACAAACCACCTTTTTGAAAATGAGCATGGTTTGAGGCAGAGCTGTCGCCATTGGTGGGAGTGGGTGGTCTAAGAGGGGGTGGCTTGAAAGGAAGAAGCAAGACACAGGGAAAGAACCATGGGAGAGACCAGAAGCTGGAATGTTTCCTCACCAGTGCCCTGTAATCTTCGTTTCCTAAAATACCAGCTCTGATTTTAAAGGGATGGGAGGGAAGAATCAGCCAGAACTTGATTGGGGGCGGGGGTCTTTAGAGTGGGTTGACAGCTAAGGGAGAAATGCGGAGGGCAGTGGGGAGGGTGGGTACATTTAGAAAGGAAGCTGGTGGTTGTGGGAAACTTTAGGGCGAAGGGACCCTTGCTAGGATGAATGGCAAACCATGTGTGTGGGCAGGCGAGGGGCCCCACCCAGTTAATTGCCACTGAGGTTTTCAGGGCTGGAATCACCCAGAGCCCTAGACGTTGGAGAATGAGAGTGAGTGCGTAACAATGACACTGGGAGTCAAGAGGGAGAGAGGAGAGACCCAGACATTCAGTGTTCCCTCGTCTCTTGTTCTCCCCATGGGCCTGGTTTTGGGGAGAGTTTGAAAGGCATGGTTGTTCTGGGGCTACAGACAGTCTCTCTACCTCTTTTAACCCTCCGCTTGGGGAGGAGGATGTGTAGGAGGAATGATGTGGAAAAGAGAAACTTGACCCAGGCTTGTCTGTAAATTAGATTTCAGGGGTTGGATGGAAATACAGCTGTGCACTAGCATGGCAGAGGGCCACGGGTTAGACAGCTGGACACAGATACAGGAAGGAGATCATCCTTGCCTGGAGCTCTAAGTCCATGACATTGACAGAGGCCAGGCAGCTTATGAGTAACTAGAGGCCCGATGCACGAAATTCGTGCAAGAGTAGGCCTTCCTTCCCCCAGCTGCTGGCACCGGCTTCCATCTGGCACCCAGGACCTGGGCTTCCCTCGCAGCCCCGGCCTTGCCCGGAAGGTTGTCTGGTCTAATTAGCATATTACGTTTTTATTATTATAGATAAGCAGAGAAATAGACTTGTAGCAAAACATGTCCTTCACAGTCTCTCTCTGGGCATTCACTAGCCTCTCTACCTGCTGCCTGCTAACCTTATGATCCCGGCCCCCCAGGTCTCTGCTCCCCCTTCAACCTGGATGTGCATCACCCACGTCTGTTCCCAGGGCCACCTGAGGCTGAATTTGGATACAGTGTCTTACAACATGTTGGGGGTGGACAGCGATGGTGAGGAGGAAGCCAGAGGGCCATGAGACGGGGGCTGTGATGACGCAGTAAAGGGGTTGAGGCAGATGGGAATCTAAAGGAATCGGGAAGTGGGTGGGCTCTAGATTTGCCAGCCCATGCACTTACCCTCTGGCCTATCTCTCTCTCTTTTTTTTTTTTGTATGGCCTATCTCAAAGGTCATGGTTACACTGTGCTTATATTCATGCCCTCCCCCAGGATGCTGGTGGGTGCCCCCTGGGATGGGCCTTCTGGTGACCGAAGGGGAGACATTTACCGCTGCCCCATAGGGAGATCCCACAATGCCTCATGTGCCAAGGTCCACTTGGGTAAGATGCCTCACTCTTCTACTCCTAACCCCTAACCTTCATACGCTAGTAACTTTGACCCCTTATACCTCACCTTCATCCCCATATCCCACATGCTCCCTGTCCCCGACTTGACCCTGATCTCTTCTCAAACCCAAAATCACCCTGAACTCAAGCACCCCATCTGTGACCTCATGATCTCATTCTCTTCTACCCCCCTCCCTCCAGGTGACTACCCACTGGGAAATTCATCTCGTCCTGCTGTGAACATGCACTTGGGGATGTCTCTACTGGAGACAGATGGTGATGGGGGATTCATGGTGAGCTAAGGAAAGGGTGTGGCTGTGTCTCTGGGGGTTTGTGGCAGAGAAAGAGCAGTATGGTGAGGGAAGCTGGTCTATGCAGAGGGTCAAGGAGTTAAAAACCCTAGAAAGTAGAGGGGAATCTCAGTGCCTCCTCCTAGGCGCATGTTCTGCGGGTGCCTCCCAACCTGGGAGTAACTGTGTCTCCCACCTACCCCCAGGCCTGTGCCCCTCTCTGGTCTCGTGCTTGCGGTTCCTCTGTCTTCAGTTCTGGAATATGTGCCCATGTAGATGCTTCATTCCGGCCCCGGGGAAGCCTGGCACCCACTGCACAGCGTAAGCCAGAAGGAGGGCTGAGGTTCAGTCCTCAGCACGGGGTGCAGGGTGGGAAAAGGATGGGGTGTCAGGGCCTGATGGGCCTGCCTGGCTGTCCTCACTGCTACCTAATGTGTCTGCATAAGCGCCATGCTTCCTAACAGGTTAGAATTCAGACTCTACCAGGACACTAAGACTCTATGAACTGATCAAAACAACTTCAAAAACTCAACTCTCACTGTATCCCTCCACGCCCTTGGCTACAGCATTTACCTCACCATTCTCCAATGTGTCATCTATTTTTATACCTCCATCTCCTTTTGTTTAAAGAGTTCTCAATCCAAATGCCTTTTCTTGTATTCTCCTCTCCTCAAACATCTTCAGTCTTCAGTATCGGCTCAGTTGCTGCCTCCTTTGATTCCCCACCATCAGTGCTATGTTTTTACCTGGCATTCAATTATTATTATCATTATTATTATTATTATTGTAATATGCTTATACTAGGGGCCCAGTTCATGAATTTGTGCACCTTGAAAGGAACTGTGGGCTGTGAGGCTGTGGTGGTCACAGGGCAAGTCTTGGCCAATCCTCCGCGACCCCACCCGCCCCCTCCCGCTGTGGCCCTGGTCCCTTGTCTGCCAGCAGCCCCGCTCCCACCGCTGCTCTCCCACGCACTGATGGCACTGGCCCTGCTCACACCTGCTGACAGCATGGAGCAATTGGGACCTGTGCCAGCAGCGGGTGTGAGCAGGGCCAGTACTATCGGCAGGTGCGAGTGGCGGCTGCTGCCCAGATCGCCCCTCAGGAGCAGGGGGAGGTAGAGAAGCCTCAGGGGCGATAGGGGCCAGTGCCTGGCACCGGCCATGGGTGCGTGAAAATGGGGCCAGCGCCGGGCACTGGCAGCAGGTGCGAGCATCGGGCGGAACCACGGCGCACGGGAGCAAAGAATTTTCAGTAACCACAAGAGGCTTGCCCCAATGACAATGACCAGTGCCCTGCCTTGGTCTGACACCCCCACTCACCTGCTCCACCATTCTGCTGCGGCCATCGCCCGCCATGTTCCACATGCGCCCCCTGGTGGTCAGTGCATGTCATAGCAACTGGTTGTTCGGTTGTTCTACCATTCGGTCTATTTGCATATTAGGGTTTTTTATATATATAAATTGATTTCAGAGAGAGGAAGGGAGAGGGAGAGATAGAAACATCAATGATGAGAGAAAATCATCAATTGGCCACCTCCTGCATGCCCCCTACTGGGGATCGAGCCCACAACTGGGGCATGTTCCCTGACCAGGAATTGAACTGAACCATGACCTCCTGGTTCATGGGTCATTGCTCAACCACTGAGCAACACTGGCCGGGCTTTTTTTTTTTTTTTTTTTTTTTTTTTAGTATACTGCATGTATGCCCATCTCTCCTTTTATTCATTTCTACATTTACCCAGGGCCTGGCATACTACCTGCCTTGCATGACAGAAGTGCCTAATAAATGTTTAAATTGAATGTGCCCTCCTGTGACCTCTTCCCTTGTTCCCTCATGCCCAATATCCTGTACCCCTCTGCTCTCTATCACCACACTCCTCCTCCTAGGCTGCCCCACATACATGGATGTTGTCATCGTCTTGGATGGCTCCAACAGCATCTACCCCTGGTCTGAAGTTCAGACTTTCCTACGAAGACTGGTGGGAAGACTGTTCATTGACCCAGAGCAGATACAGGTAAGAGAGGTCAATAAGGATGGGCTTGGAGGGGAGAGACAGGGAGAGAGGAGATACACGTAGATAGTGTCTTTAGGAGTATCCAGGCGCTCACCTTCCCTCCCTTACACACTTTCTTCTCCCTCCCCACTTTCATACACACATTTCATTTAAAAAATACATTTTTTGTTGATTTCAGAGGGGAAGGGAGAGGAAAAGAGAGATGGAAACATCAGTGATGAAAGAAAATCATTAATCGACTGTCTCCTGCACAGATATTTGTCACTGATGGATGGAGCCCCCCACTGGGGATGGAGCCCACAACTCGGGCAAGAGCCCTGACCAGGAATCAAACCATGACCTCCTGATTCATAGGTGGACACTCAACCACTGAGCCACAACCATTGGGCTACATACATTCATTTGACTGTGCACTTTATTCTCAGGTGGGGCTGGTACAGTATGGTGAGAGCCCTGTACATGAGTGGTCCCTGGGAGATTTCCGAACCAAGGAAGAAGTGGTGAGAGCGGCAAGGAACCTGAGTCGGCGGGAGGGACGAGAAACAAAGACTGCCCAAGCAATAATGGTGGCCTGGTGAGGCACTGGGGAGGGGAGTAGGGGAGGCAGAGTGGGGAGGGCCTAGACGGGTTAGGGGAGGCGTGGAGTGCAGTGTGTACATCCCAAGATGCCTTGAATGTTTATCTTTATGTGAACACTAATGGTGGGTGAGGGGAAACTAAGTTGACTGTCAGTGCACTCCCTCTGGTCACATTTCTACAAAATATCTGTCTGTATCGCTCCATGTTTCTGCTGTGTTTATCTCTGCAGACAGAACTCTCTCTCTCCATTCTGCCATTCCCACTTTGATCTTGACCCGCAGGTTCTCCATCACTCATGTCCTCGCTCACTTTCCAAACATGATTCAAACTCATTCTGGAAAGACTAGCCTGGCCTGACCATTCTTCTTTATTCTACACTCCCTTAATACGTGTCCTCCCAAATGCACTCTTTGCTAAATTAATGTAGGAATGAATGAATTTTATATTTATTGCTCTGGCCAGGCAGCTCAGTTGGTTAGAGCATCAACCCAATACACCAAGGTTTCAGGTTCCGGTCAGGGCACATACAAGAACCAACCAATATATGCAGAAATACATAGAACAGCAAAAATCTTTCTCTCTTTCCCCCTCCCTCTCTCAAATCAATTTAAAATTAAATAAAGGAATTTTATATTGATTTGCATTGATGATATGCTCATCTATCTATATGTTCTATGATATTCAAGCATTTGAGCTCTTACTGTGTGTCAGTCTGCATGCTAGACACTGTTGGGGAGATGGTCTGAAAGGCAAGATGCCGGACCTCAGTGAACTGGTGATGCTGTTGTTTGTGTGCGTGTGTGTGTGTGTGTGTGTATGTGCGTGAGTATGTGTGTGTTTGTGCATGTGTGTGTGTATGTGTGTGTCTGTGTATGTGCCTGTGTGTATGTGTGTGTCTGTGTGTGTGTGTGCCTGTGTGTGTGTACGTCTGATCACACCTCCTTTCTCTCTCTTCTCAGCACAGAAGGATTCAGTCAGTCCCGCGGGGGCCGCCCGGAGGCTGCCAGGCTGCTGGTGGTTGTCACTGATGGAGAATCACATGACGGAGAGGAGCTGCCCGCAGCACTGAAGGCCTGTGAGGCCGGACGAGTGACCCGCTATGGCATTGCCGTGAGACTCTGCTCAGGACCTGGAAGGATGGGTGGGGTGGGGATGGTGACATCAGGACCGGGAACTTGAGAAAAACCACTTCCCCGACACCAGCCACCTTCCCCTCCCTTCACTTTGTTGGCTGTGTTCCGTACCAGCTTCCATATCCCAATCCACACAGTTAACAGACCCACCCTGCGCTCTCACCCCAGGTCCTCGGCCACTACCTCCGGCGGCAGCGAGACCCCAGCTCTTTCGTGCAGGAAATCAGAGCTATCGCCAGTGACCCAGACGAGAGGTTCTTTTTCAATGTCACCGATGAAGCTGCACTGACCGACATTGTGGACGCACTGGGAGACCGGATTTTTGGCCTTGAGGGTAAGGATGCCCCTGGAAGAAATGGAGGGCGGGGAAGGGGTTCTGGGGTACAGGTGCCTCAATATCGTCTCGTGCCCAAGGGTCCCATGGAGAAAACGAAAGCTCCTTTGGCCTGGAAATGTCTCAGATTGGTTTCTCTGCTCATCGGCTAAAGGTTGGACAGCCTGACCCCTCCATGCATGACCCCTCTCGACCTCTGACTCCTTCCAGCCTCTGACTCGAACCCTTCAACCCCAGGGTTCTTCTATATTCCTCCTTTAACCAGTGTCCATTCTGACGGCTCCTGGCTTTCACACTGACCCCGGCCTGTGCCCCGTGACCCCCTCACTCCCAGGCAGCTTTGCGTTGACCCTGTCTGTTCTGCCCACAGGATGGGATTCTCTTTGGGATGGTGGGGGCCTATGACTGGGGGGGCTCCGTGTTATTATGGCTTGAAGAAGGTCACCACCTTTTCCCCCCACGGACCGCCCTGGAAGATGAGTTCCCCCCTGCATTGCAGAACCACGCGGCCTACCTGGGTGAGTAGCAGGGGTTTGCAGAGGCCTGGGAGGTGGGGGCCGCTTCCTTCCCGGTGTGGGGTGTGAGCACCCCCTCTTCACTTACACAGTTGTTCACGGACCTCCTGCTACTCCCCTTGGGACCCCTCCTAGGCCTGTAGGGATCCCTCCCATTCTGACCCCGTCTTTTTCTTCCGCCCCCGACTCCTTGCCCACTTCCAGGTTACTCTGTTTCCTCCATGCTTTTGCGGGGTGGACAACGCCTCTTCCTCTCGGGGGCTCCTCGGTTTAGACATCGAGGAAAGGTCATCGCCTTCCAGCTTAAGAAAGATGGGGCTGTGAGGGTCGCCCAGAGCCTCCAGGGGGAGCAGGTAGGGCATCCGAGGGGAATCAGCCTGTAGGGAGACAGTGAAGGGGCTGGAGAGGGGCCTGAGGTCCGTGCTGAATTCTGACAGGGCCGTGAGACCAGAGCAACAGGTGGGGGGGAGGGGCGGGGGGGTTCTTCCCACTTGTTCACAATCGCCTTCCCTTTTCTCTGGGTTCACCACTCCCCTCACTCCCTGCCACTCCCCAGATTGGCTCATACTTTGGCAGTGAGCTCTGCCCATTGGATACAGATGGCGATGGGACAACTGATGTCTTACTCGTGGCTGCCCCCATGTTTCTGGGACCCCAGAACAAGGAGACAGGACGTGTTTATGTGTATCTGGTGGGTCAGGTGAGGCTTGCTTGCCGGTCAGGAAGGAGGGAGAAGGGGAGGCACACGTATTTGAGGGCTGGCTGAGAGGTTGGGACAATCAGATCGACACCTGTCTTCTCCTCGCCTCCACCAGCAGTCCTTGCTCACACTGCAGGGAACACTTCATCCGGAACCCCCCCAGGATGCTCGGCTTGGTTTTGCCATGGCTGCCCTTCCTGACCTGAACCACGACGGCTTTGCTGACGTGGCGGTGGGGGCACCGCTGGAGGATGGGCACCGTGGAGCGCTGTACCTCTATCATGGGGCTCCGAGTGGAGTCAGGCCCCGCCCTGCCCAGGTCAGGAGCGCCCAAGGAAGGCAGGGGCGTGTGGGGGCAAGGGGAGTGGGGACGTGGTCTCTGCTGATCAGTGCTCCCCTGGACTTGGGACCCAAACTGAACAAATGCGTTATTAGTACAGTAGCCCCCCCCCGCACCCCCCCCCATGGGGATATGCTCCAAGACCTCCAGAGGACGCCCGAAACTGCAGATCGTACCAGACTTTGCATATACCGTGTTATAGGCTTGTTCCTGTACATACATACCTATGACAACATTTAATTTATAAATTATGCACAGTAAGAGATGAACAACAATAATGAAAGAGAACAATTATAACAGTATGCTATAATAAAACTCATATGAATGTGGCATTATTAAATAAAGTAAGGGTTACTTGAACAAAGCTGTGTGAGTCCTACAAGTTGATCTGATAGCTAAGACGGCTCCTAAGTGACGCACGGTGGGTAGCATGCTGAGTGTGGCTACACTGGACACAGGGATGACTCACACCCCAGGCGGGACAGAGTGGGGCAGCTTAAGAGTCTATCCCACTACTCAGAATGGCACACAGTTTAAAACTTAGGAATCATTTATTTCTGGAATTTTTTTATTAAATATTAACAGCAGAAAGTAAAAGCGTGGATAAGGGACAAAAGGTGAGGTGGAGGGGGATACAGGTTGCTATACGAGGGAATCCTGAACGCAGGCAAGTTTCTCTTGTTCTGATGAAAGAAATAGGAGCCAGGCGGGAGGCCTGGGAACCCGGTGTGGGAGTCGCTGCTCAAACTCCCCCTCTTCCCGCAGCGGATCGCTGCTGTCTCCATGCCACGGGCCCTCAGCTACTTTGGCCGAAGTGTAGATGGCCGGTTAGATCTGGATGGAGATGACCTGGTGGATGTGGCTGTGGGTGCCCAAGGGGCGGCTATCCTGCTCAGGTGAGTGGTCCCGTTTCAGGCAAAGTGGACGGCTCAGCATGGCTGTTCAAAGCAAGGGATTTGGAGTCCCGGGCTTAGATTTGGATTTCTTAGTCAACTTACTCTGGGCCTCCATTTCCTAGTTTTTAAAATGGGAACAATCCTACCTGATGGGCTTATTGTGAGGACTAAATGAGGTAATCCATGTAAAGATCTTAACACAGTGCCTAGCACAGCGGTTCTCAACCTGTGGGTCGCGACCCCTTTGGCGGTCGAACGACCCTTTCACAGGGGTCGCCTAAGACCATCCTGCATATCAGATATTTACATTACGATTCACAACAGTAGCAACATTACAGTTAGGAAGTAGCAATGAAAATAATTTTATGGTTGGGTCACAACATGAGGAACTGTATTTAAAGGGCCAGAAGGTTGAGAATCACTGGCCTAGCACATAGCAAGTGCTTTTTAAATGTTAGCTGTTCTCACCTGGCCAGCATCGCTCAGTGGTTGAGTGTTGATCTATGAACCAGGAGGTCACAGTTCGATTCCTGGTCAGGGCATATGCCGGAGTTGTGGGCTGGATCCCCAGTGGGGGGCATGCAGGTGGCAGCCGGTCAATGATTCTCTCTCATCATTGATGTTTCTATCTCTCTCTCCCTCTTCCTTCCTCTCTGAAATCAATAAAAATATATTTTTAATATATATATATTTTTAAATGTTAGCTATTATCTTACTTCTGTTAGAAGGTTCAGAGGAGAGAGACCTGCACGCCTAGCCCCTCATTCTTTCCTTTGACCTCAGGAGGCAAACGCTGGGAGTGGATTTTCTCAAGGTCTTTCCTCCGACTAGAATTTCTTTCCCACCCTGTGCCCAGCTCCCGGCCCATTGTCCGCCTGGCCCCGTCGCTGGTTGTGACCCCGCCGGCCATCAGTGTGGTTCAGAGAGACTGCGCGCGGCGAGGCCAGGAGGCAGCCTGCCTCTCTGCGCTCCTCTGCTTCCGAGCAACCTCCCGCACGCCTGGCCGCTGGGATCGCCGGCTCTGTGAGTGACTGCAGGGCATCGGGTCCCTCTCCACTCCGGGCCGGCCTCGGCCTGGGACCTTCCTGACCCTCACCCTTGCCTGCCCCATGCAGACTTGCAGTTCACAGCATCACTGGACGAGTGGACAGCTGGAGCCCGGGCAGCTTTTGACGGCGCTGGCCAGAGGCTGGCCCCTCGGCGGCTCCGGCTCACTGTGGGGAATGTCACCTGTGAGCGGCTACACTTCCATGTGCTGGTGAGGAGGGGCAGGAACTGCTTAGCCTCAGGGCCTGGGAGTGAGGGGAGGGCCGGGTCAGAGGAGGAATTTCAGAAAGTCAGACTTTGGAGTTGGGCTGATCTGGGTTTCAATTCTAACTGCTGTTTACCATCTGTGCAACCTGGAAAGCTGGTTTCCTTGCCTGCAAAGCTGGGGGGAGATGATAGTAATAACTGCAACACAGGGGTTGTAGTAGAAGTCAATGTGGCCCTGGCCGGGCCGCTCAGTTGGTTAGAGCACCGTCCCATGTGCCAAGGTTGTGGGTTTGTTCCCCGGTCAGGGCACATACAGGAATCAACCAGTGAATGCATGAATGAGTGGAACAACAAATTGATGTTTTTCTCTCTCCCTTCCTCTGTCTCTCAAATCAATCAGGAAATAATTTTTTTAAGAAAGAAGTAAATGTGATAGTACTGCCAAAACCTTCGGACAGTGCCCAACACACAGACAGTGCTCAGTAAATGACCACTGGAGTGACCACATTCCGCAGGGCCTGGCTTGTCCCCTAACCCTGGCTCCCCATGACCTTGCCTCTGGTTTCCCTCAGGATACATCAGACTACCTCCGGCCGGTGGCCTTGACTGTGACCTTTGCTTTGGACAACACCACAAAGCCAGGCCCTGTGCTGGACGAGGGCTCACTCACCTCGATACGAAAGCTGGTCAGCAGTTCCACGCCCTGCCCTGCCCTGTCCTGGGCCCCAACACTGCCTGAGGGGGAGGGAGGAGATGAGATCACAGTGAATCTGACCTGGGCACCCGCTCTTCTCTCTTCACCTTCCTCCCAATGCCATTCCTTTCTCCTTGCCTTCTTCTCAGCCCTTGGCCCCTCCTCTCTCCTCCAGGTGCCCTTCTCAAAGGACTGTGGCCAAGACAATGAATGTGTCACAGACCTGGTGCTCCGGGCGAATATGGACATCAGAGGCTCCAGGTGGGATGGACAGGAACTGGCCAAACCAGGGTGACCTGAGCCAGGCTGGACGGGACTAGAAGGGAACCAGAGGGTGGTTCTTTGCCCAGAAAAACAGAAGCGAGGCTTTTGGCATTCCTTCAACTCCTGAATTCTCCCTTATGCACTTCTCCTAGGAAGGACCCGTTCGTGGTTCAAGGTCGGCGGAAAGTGCTGGTGACAGCCACCCTGGAGAACAGGAAGGAGAATGCCTACAACACCAGCCTGAGCCTCAGCTTCTCTAGAAACCTCCACCTGGCCAGTTTCACTCCTCAGGTGTCCGGGGGGGAGGGGCTTGGGGAGGAGTCGGAGAAGAAGGAGGGAGCAGAGTGGGTATTGTCCTCAGCTGCGAGGGGCTCTGAAGAAAGGCTCAGTGTTTAGGGGCTGCGGGCAGGAGAGCAGCCGCAGCCCCAGCTCTGCTCCACCCCCGTGTCTCTGCTCTCAGAGGGACAGGTCGGTGAAGGTGGAGTGTGCCGCGCCTTCCCCTCACGCCCGGCTCTGCAGTGTGGGACATCCCGTCTTTCAGACTGGAGCCAAGGTAAGTGGGGCCCAGGATGAGAAAGGGGCTCTGAGAGAGCAGGGGCTGGACTGGGTGGGTCCTGGGGCTGGAGAAGGAGGCACACAGGGCTCCTGCTCCTCTGAACTTGCCCCATGACTAGGAATCTACCATGACCCATGTCTCCTGCCTCCAGGTGACCTTTCTGCTAGAGTTTGAGTTTAGCTGCTCCTCCCTCCTGAGCCAGGTCCTTGTGAGGCTGACTGCCACCAGGTGAGAGCAAAGGGAAGCTCCCCCCAGCCCTCTCCTACTGGGTCTTGGTGGCTGGGGTGGTGTGTGTGTTGGAGGAGGGGGATACATAGCCTTGACCCCTCTCCTCCTGAGAGGGTCTCTGGGACAGGATGTCAGCCTCTCCCCTTGCCCTACAGCAATAGCCTGGAGAGAAATGGGACCCTTCACGATAACAAGGCCCAGACCTCAGCCTACATCCAGTATGAGCCTCACCTGCTCTTCTCTAGGTACGGCTTGGTCCCCTCTGGGACCCCCACCCTGTTCTAACGTCAGACTCATAGTCTATGTTTCCACCTCTCCCTTCATGTGCTTCAGTGTCCCCAAAGCCCAAACCCTTGGGGCTGCTCCATCTTTTCCCCCAATCCCACTCATGCAAAACCTTCTCTTTTAAGCATCTTACTTTCTTCCTAGGTATGGGCTTTGCTGGGCCTGGGGATTGGGGCAAGGGTGGGGAGATATGGGATGTGGTCATAAACATTGTTAGTCTGCCGTGTCTCATGTCTATCTTCTCTATGTACCGCCACCTCTTTATTCATGTGCTGGCTCGGCCTTCCCTGACTCCATCTATGTATTGACCATGTGCCTGTGTCTGTGTCATGGCTATGGCCGTGTACTTCCTGACTTGGTGTCCACGCAGTGAGTCCACTATGCACCGCTATGAGGTTCATCCATACGGGACCCTCCCAGTGGGTCCTGGCCCTGAATTTAAGACCACTCTTAGGGTGAGAAGCTGGCGGGCCTTGGAGTGAGCAGGGGAGGGGTGAAGCGTCCTGGGGGGAAACGGAAACGCCTCTCTTAGATGTCAGTGGGATCCAGGATAAAGAGGAGTGGATGACGAAGGATCTTCATCTCCTGCCTCTTCCCGTTTTCAACTCTCCTCTCAGGTTCAGAACCTTGGCTGCTATGTGGTCAGCGGCCTCGTCATCTCAGCTTTCCTTCCAGCCGTGGCCCATGGGGGCAACTACTTCCTGTCACTGTCTCAGGTCATCACTCACAATGTGAGTCTGGGCTGGGGGAGGTGGGGCCCTCCACCTTGACCTGGTGGGCTCACCAGCCCCTTATCTGCTGGGTCACTGCCCTCAGGGCGCCTCCCCGGGGGGACCTTTCCTTTACCTATGTGGCTTCTTTGAGAAGAAAGAGAGGGATTCCCCCACTATAGGAGTGTGGGTAGGTGCTGCTCAGCATGCAGTGGCTGGCCTCTCACCATCAAGAGAGTCCCTCAAGTTCCATCTTTCTCCAGGCAAGCTGCGCGGTGCAGAATCTGACTGAGCCCCCTGGGCCCCATGCGCACCCAGAGGAGCTTCAGCACACCAGCCGGCTGGTATGCGTCAAGGATGGAGCAATGTGTCCAGGGTGGGAGCCGTGGAGTTTGGAGCCTTCCGGTTGGGGGCAGAGCCTGGAGCGGGAAGTGGGAGATCTTTCCACCAGGTCCTGACCTCTCTCTCTTGTGATAGAACGGGAGCAACACTCGGTGTCAGGTCGTGCGGTGCCACCTTGGGCGGCTCGCTAAGGGGACCGAGGCCTCTGTCGGACTACTGAGACTGGTTCACAATGAATTCTTCCGGAGGGTAAACCTCTTATTTCCTACTACTCTTCCCTTCTGTTCCAATCTGGAACTTGAGCACAGGCTTTGGAAGTAAACAGACCCATGTTCAAATTCCACTTTGCCTCTTACTAGCTGTTGGATGTTAAGCAAGTTATTTCATCTCTCTAAGCTTCTTTCTTCTCATCTCTAAAGTGGGGGTGATAACACCTACTTTAAGGGGTTGTTGTAAAGAATAATGAGATGGACTCATTTAAAGCTAGTTATTATCCTCCATGTATCATCCCTTAGTACTATACTAATAATCAATCAACATTGATAGGATACCTAAAATTCAATCAATTAATAATCCATCAAGTGCCTACTATATAAAAGGTCCTGTACTAGGAGACACTGAGAATATCCCAAATGTTTAGCACCATGTTTAAATCATTGTAGTGACTTAATACATTTCTGTTAAATAAATGAACAAATAGTAGATTTACATGCAGTATATGCATTGTAGGGTAGTCAGAAGTAAGATTATACAGTTGAGAGAAATCTAAATTATGAAAGTTCTCTAAAGCTAGGGAGATAAAATGGAACTTAATATGATTGGCAGTTAGGAGTCAGTATGAATTCCTGAGCAGGGAAATGACATCTTAATTGTAACAGCTATTTAGCACTAGGGTTCTCTACTGTGCATCCCATACACCATCTACTTTGAATAACACAACATCCCTGGGATGCAGGCATGTTTTAAGGGAAGTTAACTCTGACAGACCATTCCTCTCTAAGTCTGGTCCTCTCTTTATCTCTCTTTGGTATCCTCTATTTTAAAAATAGTATTTTATTGATTTTAGAGAAAGAGGGAGAGGGAGAGAGAGATAGAAACATTGGTGAGAAACATCAACATTGATCAGCTGTCTTCTGCATGCCCCCTACTGAGGACTGAGCCCACAACTGGGTCATGTGCCCTGACTGGGAACCGATCAGGGACCTCTTGGTACATGGGTCAGTGCTCAACTACTGAGCCACACCATCTGGGCTTTGGTATCCTCTTTTTAATTCATTAATCTATTCTTTTTAAATTTTTTAAATTGATTTTAGAGAGGGGGGAGAGAGAGAAGCATCTGTTTGTTGTTTCACTTATTTATGCATTCATTGGTTGATTCTGTATGTGCCCTGATTGGGGATTGAACCTACAACCTTGGCATAGCTGGATGACACTCTAACCAACTAAGCTGCCTGGCCAGGGCATTCAGCCATTCTTTTAACAAAGATTTATTATGAAACCACTAGGTATTTGGCACTGTGCTAGGTACTAGACACTAGGAACACATAATTAAAGATTTTTTTAAAAAATATATGTTTTTATTGATTCTAGAGAGAGTGGAAGGGAGAGGGAAAGGAAGAGTGAGAAAGAGAAAGAAACATTGATCGGATGCCTCCCATACGCACCCCAACTGAGTATTGAACCCACAACAACATGTGCCCTGACCAGGAATTGAACCAGCAACCTTTCAGTGCACAGGACAATGCTCAACCAACTTAGCCACACTGGCAGGGCTAGGGACACATAATTAATAAGACATAGCCCTTGTCCTCAAGGATCTTATAATTCAGTGGTGAAAGACAGAAAAGTGAACAGAATATTATAACTTTAACAGGGGTGGTTGGGTTTAGAAGGAAATACTTTCTGAAATCCCAGAGGAGATGATGTCTAAACTTCAACCTAAAGGAGGGGTAGCACTTAGCCAATGAAAGGGAAGTTGAATGCATTTCAGGTAGAGCAGACAGCATAACGAAAGACCCTAGCTTTAGAGAACTTTCATAATTTAGATTTCTCTCATTTCTCCCTCTATAACCCTTTTCCTCTTTCCCCATTGGTATCCAACCTTTACTTCTGGTCTTCAGAGTCCTGAGAGTTGTGTCTTTGAGCCTCATCTTTGTTATTGGAGTTCCAATTGCCACACTCCCTGATGATGGCTCGCTTTAAATGTCTTCCCATCTATTTGTTCCGCAGGCCAAATTCAAGTCTCTGACAGTGGTCAGCACCTTCGAGCTGGGCGCTGAGGAGGGCAGTGTCCTACGGCTGACCGAAGCTTCCCGCTGGAGTGAGGTGGGCTGGAGGCCGCGTGTGAGAGCTGTGAAAACATTGATTGGATGCCTCCCGTATGAGGGTGGGGGTGGGGAAAGGACACGTGTGGGCTTTTTTCAGAAGTGTCTTCATCAGGCAGCAATGGAGGAGTCAGAAGTGACAAGTGAGGATGCTAGGGTCCCACTGCCTCCTTTCCTGCCTCCGTTTCATTCCTTTTAGTCTTCTATTTGGAGGCTGGCTTTGCTTGAATGTGGGGTGAGGCCAGCTGGGTGAAAGGGTGCAGGTAAAAGACCCCTCTCCCCACACAGAGCCTCCTGGAGGTGATCCAGACGCGCCCTGTGCTCATCTCCCTGTGGATCCTCATTGGCAGCGTCCTGGGAGGGCTGCTGCTGCTGGCTTTCCTCGTCTTCTGCCTTTGGAAGGTAAGCACGGCTTTGGGTGGAAGTATGGGCCTGGTGCCCACGCCTTGAGGGGTCCTTGATTGTAGCAGGGAAAACCGGGTTTGTGCTGGGCAGCCGGTGGGTGTCATGCCCAACCTCCTTCCCTGAACTCCACAGATATTGGTTGAATTCAACTAAGCCAAATAAAAGAAATATGAACCTCATGTTTGGAAGCAGAACCAAAGTGAAGACTTCAGATAAGTCTGAGGGCTGTTGGCAAGGTCCCCAGGCAGGCCATCTGACAATAACTCTTATCTCTTCCTGTACAGCTTGGCTTCTTTGCCCGTAAGAAGATCCCCGAGGAAGAAAAAAGAGAAGAGAAACCGGAGCAATGAATGTAGAATAGAGTCCTGGAAAGTCCTCCCTGGAAGCTTCTCCAAAAGACTCGCCAAAGAGCGAAGGCTGGGGGTTCCGAGGGGACGAGAATCAGCCCCTGGACGGCCTCCCCTCGCCTGAACCCTGACTTGACTTTGGAGTCATGAGGAAGCTGCTGGCAGGAGATGAGGCCTCACCTCAGACAAGAAGGGCTGGCACCCCGACTAGGAGCACTCCCTCTGTCTGCTCCCCTCCTCATGACCACGGTTCACGGCCTACACGGGGCCTTTTTCTCCAGCCTCGGGAATCGGGAATTTGCTGCCTAGGTCCCTGCCTCCTTTCAGATTCCCCTACGGCCTCCTTCACAGTTTGGGAAGGGTGAGGGTTGTCTTCCTCGTCCCCTGCCTCTCATCTTCCTGCTGGCTCCCCGCTCCACAGGAGGGAGCTGACGTTGGCTTGAAAGAAGTAAAGTCAACATCTGCTGCTCTCCTCTGGAGTCTGGTGATTCAGAAAGCCAACTGGGGAGAGTCAACAGGAAAAAAGAGGGAGGAGGAAAAGCCACAAGAGACATTCTGTACAATTCCAAGGAACAGAGAAGCCTTTAGACAGGCAACTGCCATCCCCCTGAAACCTGAGACCTGGCGGTGCACTGGCCCGCCCTCAGGTGCTGGGGAAAGGAGCCGCTCAGGGCCTGCTGGGCATGGGTTTCCCAGCTCCCACCATTCCCTGGGAGCAAAGCCAGGTCCCCGAATCTCTGGAGCCAGGGGCCCCCCGGTGGCTAGAGGTGGAATAGCAGAGCAGCCTGTCTACCCCAGGCAGCATTTTCTCCTCCCTCAGGCCTCTCAAACTTTTGAGCCCTCTATAAACTGCAGAGAAGGGAAAGGATTGCCGCTTGACGGTGGGAAACCCTTCCACCTTACCAGCTTGGGGAAGCAGCAGCCCCATGGAGCCTGAATGAGTGGGGTTTGCATTGAGGAGGAAGCTAAAGTGCGTGGCAGGAGGTGTCTGAGGAGCCAGCCCTTCCTTGCTCAGCAGGGGTTATTGAGCACAAATAGCTCCTAGGAACATGCTTCTGGGGCAGCTCCTACTTTGTGGGGCTTCTCTGGTGGAAGCGCGTTGCCAGCCCCTGCCTGATGTTTACTAGAAATTCTCAAGTTCATTTCCATCTCTGGACCACCCCACCCTGTCCCATGTTTTGGTCATGGCCGGTTAAGAGAATTTGATTCTCATCAACAACTGGGTAACTTATATTTCTTTGTAATCAAGACTTGGGATAACAAAGTCAGTTACTGGTCTCCAGGGTGCGGCACCCATTTAGAGCTGAGACCAGGCATCTGACTAGTAGCCATAGAACCTGTCCTTCAGGGCTGTCCTTGAGGCCCACAGTATTTACTTTGGCATGTCTCGAGCTGTTTGCAGAGGGCATTGTCTCTGTTTTCCAGCATGGTGGGCAGCATATCAGATGGCCAGAACAAATAAAGTTCGTGTCAAGTGACTTCCGTTCTTTTTGAGTTCCCTAGGATATAGGTTATTCTTGGTTCCCCTGAGGTGAGATTTTATATGAAGTATTTGAAATGTTTCCTGTGCCTCTCCCCCTGCGGATGTGCTCTAACCTCCTGTGTAAAATGTGTGGGTTAGGGAAGCACATAGGCCTAGATTGAAGCCATTTATTAGCTAGTGGCCTTGGGCAAGTCATAACTACCCCAAGGCTCAGAGAACAACAACAGGCTGTGTGATACAGTAGTGAAGAATGAAAACAGACTGGGCTTTAAATCTAAATTCTACTACTTAAAACTCATTTGACCTTGAACAGATTTAACTTCTCTAAGTCTTGGCTTTCTTTCTTTTTTTGAAAAATATATTTTATTGATTTTTTACAGAGAGGAAGGGAGAGGGATAGAGAGTTAGAAACATCAACGAGAGAGAAACATCGATCAGCTGCCTCCTGCACACCCCCCACTGGGGATGTGCCCACAACCAAGGTACATGCCCTTGACCGGAATCGAACCTGGGACCCTTGAGTCCGCAGGCCGATGCTCTATCCACTGAGCCAAACTGGTTAAGGCAAGTCTTGGCTTTCTTATCTTTAAACTTACTAGGGTTGTGAGGCCTAAATGAGATAATTTAAGTGAGCATATGGTAAGTCTTCATAAATGGTCACTATTGTTATAAAAATATTTTGTTATTAAATAACCTACCCTACCATGTGTTGTGAAGATAGAACGAGAGGTGTAAAGCGCCAGGCCAGACCCTGAAGATCTGTTTCTTTGTATGCTATTGTCTCCTCCTACTAACTCTTACCCTGCGCCTCATCCCCTTTGAAATAAGCCCTCATGCCCACGAAGGTGATAAATAGCTAATTAACTTAGGTTGTAATGGTAGAAATCAAATCTATTTTATTTCCTTAGACACCCTAAGTTCTTGTCTTACCCTCAAGGGACACTTGCACCTCAGCAATGGCCTAGAGACCGTCCCTGCCTCTGTTACCTGACCTGAGAATGGTGGCGTCTGGCCTACCAGGCAGGGACAACTATTCTGTGGCAAGCTGGTGAGTTATTTTGTGGCATTAGGAGTCCACGGTGGCCATCAATGTACTTCATATAGGCAACAGCTTCATCAGACTTTATGGAACATACGGTTTATGGGGCTGGGACAGAGGCCATGGTTATGACAGATTTCCCCCCTTTTTTAAAAAATATATTTTATTGACTTTTTACAGAGAGGAAGGAAGAGGGATAGAGAGTTAGAAACATCGATGAGAGAGAAACATCAATCAGCTGCCTCCTGCACACCCCCTTCAGGGGCTGTGCCCGCAACCAAGGTACATGCCCTTGACTGGAATCGAACCTGGGACCCTTGAGTCCACAGGCCGACGCTCTATCCACTGAGCCAAACCGGTTATGGCCAGATTTCCCCTTTTTAATCTCAGCCAACCCCCAAAGGGAGATGGATTTCTGGATTTCCTTGAGGACTGGTTCATCTAATTCTTTTTTAAAAATATATGTTTTTATTGATTTTTTTAGAGAGAGAGGAAGGAAGAGGAATAGAGAGAAACATCAGTGAAAGAGAAAGAAACATCATCTCTTGGCTGCTCCCTGCACAACCCCTACTTGGGATTGAGCCCAAAACCCAGGAATGTGCCCTGATGGGGAATCAAACCAGTGACCTCTTGGTACATGGGTCGATGCTCAACCACTGAGCCACACAGGTCGAGCTCATCTGATTCTTTTTCCATACGATGAAAAGAGCACTTTTGGTATTCTTATCCATCTAGAGATCCCTCTCTATCTCTCAGTTCCAGAATGGGACTTACTTTTTTTCTCAGAATGGGACTTTCTCTAACTCTATCCTATCTTCTATATATATAAAAGCCTAATATGCAAAGTGTCCCCTCAGGAGTTCGACCAACCAGGAGTTCGATCGCTATGACATGCACTGACCACCAGGGGACGGCATGGAATGAAGGAAGGCCCCGGCAGCAGCCAGTAGCCAGGGAAGGGAGGCCCCAGTGGGCAGCTGGCAGCCGCTAGAGACCCTACCTGTGCACAAATTTGGTGCACTGGGCCTCTAGTTCTTCAATAAGCCTGTTACCTCTTCCTTTGGAGCAGAGCAAGTTTGAGAAACAACTGTAGAAACAACAGGCTCTCTCCAGACATACATGTTCCTTCTTTTCTTCTTCTTGTTGTGCCTTTATTTCTTCATTCTTTTATACTCTCATCAGACATGAAGCACCTAATGTGCACCAGGCAATGAGAATAATACAAAATACAACTGCTACCATCAAAGAACCCAGTCTAATAGGGAAAACAGATATGTAAACAAATACAAATACCGAGAGGTGGTTGCTACATGACATAGCAGAATTAGAATTGCGTCTCACAGTTTGGCACGGTGTGTGTGTGTTTAGGAAGTGGTGGTGGCAGGGTTATAAGGGAAAACTTTACAGAAAAAAATTTAGCTTGAGGGACCACCAAGTGTGAGAGGAGGCAGAGGGAGGAGGAACCACCAGCCGGGAGGAAACTGGTGATTAGAACCCCCTGAGCACTGCGCTGTGAAAGCAGCGGGAGATGAGGCTGGAGAAGGCAGGGTGCAGCTCCTGGGAGCCTTCTCAGCCACGTGAAGACTTCGCGCTGTGACCTTTAGGCTCTGTTAGGGTTGGGGGGCTTGCTCGGCCGCAGGGTAGACCAGTTGGCTGGGACTGACTGTTCGAGCCAGAGTTGCTGAGTTTGAATTTAAAGAGCGGTAGATTTTTTTTTTCCCCCTAAAGAATGCGGAGGAGGGTGGCTTATGCTTAAAACAGAAATTCTCTCCTCTCCCTCTGCCCTTTCCTAACTTACAGGTGCTTTATAGGAGGTTAAACCCGACCCCCTTTTCCTCAAGTTTTGTTCCCCAGGTTGCGGGGAGTCCTGCACCATCCACACTACAGGCTCCTCCCATTTCCAAACTGTTCTTTCGGATCCTCCTTGCGCCTGGTTTTGGCCGGGGAATGTGGGGGGGAGGCAGAGGTTACTGGATGTAACGAAAGCGGCGGCAGAGGTTAATGCGACAATGATCCGAGCAGAGCGCAGGGGAGAAGCGGGGACTGCCCGCCTCCTGCGGCGCTC